TGGCAATCTTCGGGTCAATCGATGCAAACATGCATATCGTGTCGCTTGTGGTGATGTCTGACGCGTTGAATGCGATTGCAATGCAATCAATGGCTAACCTCTTGTGGCCTCAGATGAGACACGCATTGAATTGCGTCCATAATATCATTGCATTCAATGCCACAAACAGATCAATGTTTGCATGACTTTTGACATTTAAGTTAACATTGAGTCCACTCCACAAACACCGTTACACTCAGTGCGAGGGGTGGGCGACACAGACAGCGTAACGGTGTATGTGAGCAGTGATGCGATGCAATGCCAGCCAATGCCGACGTGTAATGCATTGACTGAAGGCTTAAAACGACTGCAAAACACGTCAATAGGTTTTGGCATCAAATCAGTCACTCATTCATCGAAATCACCGCTCAGTTGATCCATAGTTGCGATGCATTTGCCGACACATTCACTGTGTGTGATGGCAGTGGTGATGACCATATGGTGGTCGCGAGTGGACGCCTACTTCCTGGTGATCGACGCTCACGATTCACTACGAGATGAGAGACGACGACAAAGAGCTGACCGCAGATGAGATGAAATTAATGCAAACCCAAGACATCGCTTATATTCAACAGAAACGGGTCATCGAAATGAAGAAAATCGAGAAATTGAGACAAAGTTTGCATTTAATTGAATGCGAAGATCGGGTGAAAAACACACACATCTTCTTCGTGGACAACAAATCAGATAAAAAAGTGTTTGATTTCGGGAAGCGCTTGAAGACGAGCGAAGAGTTGCTCGAAATGGGCTATAGTTTCGCCAATTCTGAGCGTTTCAATGGCAAGAATGTCACCCAAAGTGATGTCCAGAATGTGATTCATTTGAGGGATAAGTCGTACAAAGAGTTAGCGAAACGTATGGAAAGACTCAAGTTTTTGGACATTTTGTACCATAAGATGGATGTGAAGAAGAAGCTATTGGTATGAATTGATGGCATTTGTGGTGATTTGAGTGATGATTAATGTGTGCTATTTGTGTCCCAAATGTCCGCAGAATAAGAAGGAAAGCAAACCGAAGCTCGTGAAGAAGGGGTCGTCCACTCGTGCGCCACAATTCAAGTGGAAGACTGAGAGGAAGCGATGATTTGTTGCATTCATTAATTGTTTTTTATTTTTCATTTTTCATTTAAAACATGAAATGTTCGCACAAATGATAAAATATATAAACTTTATATTAAATGATGTCATAATTTATACAATAATAATGAGAGCCAATAGGCCTCCCGTTTGAATTGTTTGGTGCGATTGAGGACACTATGGAATCCAATTCCCTTAAGCTTTGCCTCGATGTCAGCCACGGAGTCGTCGGGATTTGCGTAGTGGATAGCGATGACCCGCTTATCATCCGAGAACCCGGCGTAGTAACCGAGGTGTCCAGAAAGGCTCATCTCTTTGACAACTGTCCACAGATGTTCAAACATCTCATTGGACCAGTTATTCCTGAACACCAATGAGTACCCCTTTATATCGCCGACGCCAGGCTTAGCCACACAATTGGGTGCCAATGCATACACTTTCCAATAGTTGGTCGCATTCGTCCATTCCTCGGGAACTAATTGATGAATCATATCGTTGTTAATGTGGTCACTAAATATTATATATCACTATAATGTGGTATTTGATGTATTGTACTAATGATTGTGTTGACACTTATGGCAAGTGTTGGTTTTTAAATGAAGATTCTCTCAGCCGTACCTCTATTTATATGCATTCATAGCATCATGGTATAATCATGTTAAATCTAATTGGTCAGTTTGTGTGCTATTTTTGGTAGATTTTCAATATATTACATAAATAGTATCATATTTGACAATACTTTGTTATTATGCAATTGGCTACAACTTCATGTGAATGAGTGCCATATTCATGTGACTATCAATTGTGTGATTAGTTTCTGATTAGACTATCGTTTATTGAATTAAATAGAAATTCTAATTAAAGTTGACTGCTATCATCATATTTATGGCAAAACTAACTTTTGATTGAAAAGTTTTCGCTGAATGTCACGTTATTGATGAGTCGTGTATTTAAAAGGCATTTATCATTTGAAAAAAACTTTTTTCAAAGTTTTTTATTTATTAGTTAATTAAATTTAAATAAGTTTACAATTATTTGTAATAATTGGTCCCAAAATGAGATAAAACATGATTTGATTAAAATATAAAAAATATATCAAATGGATTCAAATGAAATAAATATTTGAGTTATTGTTGGCCGAGAGGCGGGTATTCCTCGGGTTTGAAGACATCGGTGTAGAGGTAGACCCGAGTGAAGCCAATGTCCTCCAGCGTGTGGACGATATTCTCCCGGTTGTCATCCGGGTTAGCGAAGTGCACAGCAATGGCTTCCCTATCGTTGGAGAATCCCGAGTAATAGCCGAGTTGTGCCGTTCCCGTCAACTCACGCACCACTTCCCACACCTCTTCCATGGGATGCGGACAACGGTTCTTGAATGCCATCGCATAGCCCTTTTGGCCCCCCTTTGCAGGCTTGTCCACACCTGCCGGTGCCAACTGATATGTAGTTCAGTGAATGGGCTTCTGTGCGATGTATGGCTTCAATTCTTCGGGAAGTATTTCTTGAGACATCGTGTGGTCAGCGGTTCACTCAGTGTTCACTTAATTTCAATTTATATTGTTTTCTACGAAACACTTGTGTCAGTGTTTGCACTGTTAATGGCATTACTCGCACCCATACCTCCACTTATATACTCGCATTTGCATCATGCTTAATTCGTGGTTTCATTTATATTGATGCAATTTTATTACATGACGCTCACTGTATACGTGCACATAGTGTTCAATTGATATATTAATGGATATTAATTGTGTTTTAATGAACCATTCATTTACTGAATGAAAAATAATTAGTTTTTACACATATTTATCACTGTTTTTGCATTGAATGTCACGTTATTGATGAGTCGTGTGTTTAAAAGGCATTCGCGAAACACGTGTTTATGTTTTCACTGCAATTCAGTGTCATTTGAGTGGCGGTTGTCTTAACCATCGCTGCCATGAAGACCGAGAAGAAGGAGAAGCCAGTGGAAGACAAACCCAAACGCGTGAAGAAGAAGGACATCGAAGACACAAAAATCCAAGAGTTGTTGTCTTCGTACTCGTCGTACGATTGGACACAATTCGAGTCGTTCTCATCGATCCCTCTGTCGTCGCGAACCCTCGACGGACTCCTTCAGAACGGATTCACTGCCCCGACAGACATCCAGAGGAAGGCCATCGGGAGTGCCCTAAGAGGGCGTGACGTGTTGGGTGCGGCCAAGACTGGATCCGGCAAAACGCTGGCCTTTCTGGTGCCCATCCTTGAGGTGCTCTACACTAACAAATGGACACAAATCGATGGCATCGGAGCGCTCGTCATAACACCCACTCGTGAGCTCTCGTATCAGATCTTCGAAGTGTTACGCAAAGTGGGAATCAATCACGACTTCAGCGCCGGTCTTATAATCGGCGGTAAAGATCTGAAGTTCGAGAGGAAGCGCTTAGACAAGTGTAATGTGATTGTCTGCACTCCGGGGCGACTGCTTCAGCACATGGATGAGAACCCGCTGTTCGCGTGCGATAACCTCAAGGTGCTGGTGCTGGACGAGGCGGACAGGTGTCTGGACATGGGCTTCGCGGCCACAATGAACGCCATTATCGAGAATCTGCCGCAAAGACGCCAAACGCTGCTCTTTTCGGCGACGCAAACCAAGTCCGTGAAAGACTTGGCGCGACTCAGCCTCAAAGACCCGGAGTATGTGTGGGTCCACGAGAACGACAAGCACTCGACGCCCGAAGCGCTCACTCAGAGCTATATTGTGTGCGATTTGGAGGATAAGCTGAATATGTTGTGGTCTTTCATCCGCAGCCATAAGAAGCACAAGATATTGGTGTTTATGTCGAGCTGTAAACAAGTGAAGTACTGCTACGACCTGTTCTGTCGGATGAGACCCGGGGTCAGTCTTCTGGCACTTTATGGTACTCTCCATCAGTTGCGACGAATGGCTATTTATGACGAGTTTTGTCGCAAACAAAGCGCTGTCCTCTTCGCCACTGATATCGCCTCCAGAGGTCTCGACTTTCCGTCAGTCAATTGGGTCTTACAGTTGGACTCTCCCGAAGACGTCAACACTTATATACATCGCGTCGGGAGGACTGCTCGCTTTGAAAAGGACGGCGAATCGCTTCTAGTCGTACTGCCATCCGAAGAGCAATCAATGGTGGATCAGTTGACACAGAAGAAGATTCCGATCAACAAAATAGAAGTGAATCCAAAGAAAATGTATTCAATTCAACGAAAGGCTGAGGCGTTGTGTGCGAGAGATCCCAGTCTTAAAGAGTCGGCTCAGAGAGCCTTCAAATCGTATATAAAAAATGTGTTTCTAATGAAAGACAAGACTGTGTTTGACATTAAAAATCTAAATTCAGATCTCTTCGCAAATTCTCTCGGATTAGCCATAACTCCGAGGATTAGATTCATAGAGAAGTCTTTGCAACAGAAGAAGAATTCCGAAGAATATAAAACGAAAGCAAACACTGAAAGCGATAATAAAATTAATTTTAATGACTTAAACGATGGCAACCAAAGTGATGACGACTTGTTCTCCGTTAAGAAAGTCTGGAGATTTGATTTGAATGAAGAACTCGATGGCAGTAGACCTGAACCCAAGGAGAAGGAGAAGAAAGCGGTGACAAAGGCAGCGATGGCTAAGAAGTTACTGAAGAAGAAGTTTAAGCCAAACAGTAGAGTCGTGTTCAATGAGGACGGAACTGTTGCCGAAGACTTCCCCACTCGACAAGTGTCTGAGAAAGTGAAGGAATTGGATGAGAAGGGCATCAGTGGTATAGACATCGAGATCGCCAAACAGATTATGAAAGACGAGGACGTGATCGACAAAAAACTTTATAAGGATTTAGTGAAAGCCAAACATAAGGAGAAGAGACTTAAACTCAAAGAACAGAAGAGGAGAGAAAAGGAGAGCAGAAGTGGTTCGGCTGTATTGGGCGGTCGTTCCGGTGGTGGAGTCGACGACAGCTCTTATAATCAATTGAATTCTCTGATCGACGCACTGCCCGACCCGGACGTCGTGTACGGCCAACAGTCGGACCAGTCGAGTGGTAATGAATCCGACGATTCCGGTGAATACGATGAAGAGAATGAGGGTATGTCTGGAAGTGAGGACCAAATGAGTGACAGACCCGAAGAGAGTGACGAACACTCGGATCGAAGTGAAGATGAATCCAATGAATCAGATAATAGACACACATTTAAGCGGAAACCAAAACAAGAGATAATGATGAATAAGAAACAAAAATTGGGAAATGGATTAGATTTGACTGATTGTGAAACTCTTGCCATTCATTTATTGAATAATTAATACAAATGTGTTTTAAAAGTAAATTATATTTTAAATTTCGTGTAAAATGAGAGCAAATTTTTATGTCTTAATTAAAATTCATTATAAACACCGTATGAATGATGAGATGCGTGTCTAATAGGGTCTGTCTTGGCGTCGGCCCAATCCGTATCCCAATCCGTCGCCTCTTCTCGGGTCGAACCCATCGTTTCGTCGATCGCCGAACCCGTCATCACGTCTGCCGCCGAAGCCTTCATTTCTGGGGCCAAAGCCGTCATCCCTTCTGCCGGCGAACGGTAGCAGAGAAGCAGGCGGTTTTAATAGTAGAGAAGACGGCCGCTTGGGTAGTAAGGACGCCAAGACGCCGGCGGCCAGTCCGTAAGACAACAGTGAGCCGCAGACTTATCGCTATAGGTTTATCACTCCGATTTGGAACCGACTTTCGGCCAGAGTTTTGCCATCGTCTGGACCTTTACTGCCACTACAGGTGGAGCCGACGTCTCGCATACGATAGGCGGGAGTCCGCGGGTCGGGGTATACGAGCGCGAAGTCAAAGAACGTTCCCTTTCGGCGAGACTCGGGATTCACTTCTTTCACGAGTCCTGTGATCTCTTTGAGACACCGCAGCCAGGTGCACATGTGGACCTCGAGTAATCGGCCTGTTAGCAAAGCGCTCATCAGCAACGTCAACAACACGGCTGGTAAGTCACTATCCTTGTGCGCTTCTTCATCGCCTGTGAAGACAGGACACAAACATATCAATGAGACAATCAATACAAACAAAGGGTGTTGTCATGGATGGGGTGCCCAACGGATGCATACCTTCTCCCTATCGATGGGTTTGTCTTCTTGTGGCGCTTCTGCGGTCACCACTTGTGATGTCATAATCGATGCCACGGTTTGTTGAATTCAATGATAAATTCACTTTCAAATGAAAATCAACTCAAAAACCGATCAATCAATTGATCCACACTTTCGGTTCTCTCATAAATAACGTCATGTATTGAGGAAATCGTAAGTTTTGACCACTTGTTTCGACAATTATCTTCAATTTAGCCATAAACTCATTATCACCGAAAATCTAACCATTTAATCGTTAAGATATTGTTGGGATCAATGAATTAACAACATTTATGGTGTCAGAAGTGGGAACTGTTTGTCACTCATATCACTGATTAGTCAAAGTGTCGGCATTACTGTAGTCTTAACTGTAATTAATGTTTTAGTTTTAGTTGTAATTTTAAAATTTATTCAAAATATTTACAAAAATTGGTGACAATTAATGACAAAAGTCTATAAAACAATTACAAATCATTTTACAGATAAGACATAAATTATATAATCATTGAGTTCTCGCTAAACCTATGGAAATGGTGGGAATCACACGACTCGTCGCACTTCGAAAAACCTCTTAAGATAGTAGACCTGACCTAAAGTCATGGCCACGAGTACTAAGGCCTCGAAGAAGGCCCACAAGACGACCCGCGAGTTGGTGCTCTCGTTGATGGACCGGTGGATGCGGTCCCTGACAGCCATGTACTCCTGTTCGTGCTTTACGGCCGTCAGAGCGCCCGACAGCTCTTTGATCTGTTCCTCGAGTTTGTTGTGATTAGCGTCTTGTGCTTTGAGCTGTTCCTCAGTCTTGGGAGCGTCGCCGACGTCCATCGAAAACATCACCACTTTTGGCGTCATTGTCGACATCTTATTGCCGAAACAGTAGAGATACTGTCGGGGCAGTGAATCCGTTCTGAAGGAGTCCGTCGAGGGTTCGCGACGACAGAGGGATCGATGAGAACGACTCGAATTGTGTCCAATCGTACGACGAGTACGAAGACAACAACTCTTGGATTTTCGTGTCTTCAATGTCCTTCTTCTTTATGCGTTTGGGTTTGTCTTCCACTGACTTCTCCTTCTTCTCGGTCTTCATGGCGGCGATGGTTAAGACAACCGCCACTCAAATGACACTCAATTGCTGTGAAAACATAAACACGTGTTTCGCGAATGCCTTTTAAACACACGACTCATCAATAACGTGACATTCAATGCAAAAACAGTCATAAATATGTGTAAAAACTAATTATTTTTCATTCAGTAAATGAATCATTAATTAAAACAACACACAATTAATGTCCATAAATATATAAATCTAACACTGATTTGAGTTTCGAGTAGATCATCCTGCTCAATTCTAACCCATTTCATAACATTTGTTCAAACTATTTATATGTACGTATTTCATGTCAATGTACACTAAGCATCATGTAATAATATTGCGTCAATATAAATTAAACCATGAATTAAGCATGATGCAAATGCGAGTATATAAGTGGAGGTATGGGTGCGAGTAATGCCATTAACAGTGCAAACACTGAAACAAGTGTTTCGTAGAAAACAATATAAATTGAAATTAAGTGAACACTGAGTCAGCCGTTGACCACACGATGTCTCAAGAAATACTTCCCGAAGAATTGAAGCCATACATCGCACAGAAGCCAATTCACTGGACTATATACCAGTTGGCACCGGCAGGTGTGGACAAGCCTGCAAAGAGGGGCCAAAAGGGCTATGCGATGGCATTCAAGAACCGTTGTCCGCATCCCATGGAAGAGGTGTGGGAAGTGGTGCGGGAGTTGACGGGAAGGGCACAACTCGGCTATTACTCGGGATTCTCCAACGATAGGGAAGCCATTGCTGTGCACTTCGCTAACCCGGATGACAACCGGGAGAACATCGTCCACACG